ATCAATTTCAGCTGAAACACAAAGAAAGAGTAATTATCAACTTCCTAAGGCCTACTAGTGATTAGAGAAAACTTGAGAGTAGTTTCTTTAAGATCGTTCAAGTTACGTAGATATTGGTACAAACATCTATGGCAATGAATAAATTGTATAAACTACGTTACAAATACAATGAGTATAGAGATAAATGTATTTTTCATAATCTTCTAACTTAAGCATTAAAAGAAGGCAGTGTTTGAAACAAATAAAGTAAGACTACATTTAACTTCACAAACCAAACCATTTTAACGAAACTTAAGTGTTTTACGTTGACTGATTTGTATGCTGGTGATGCGTATTGAGAACAAATTCATGTACAATAAGTACCGATACTGGATATGTACACCCAGTGTGGATACACTAACCATCTAGGAGTACCCATATATCATAGATTAAAATGGATAGTTTTAACAAAAACATTCTTATCACCCAAAGAATGCTTTTGACTTTTTGTAAGAATTCGCGATCCTGGGGTTTGAAATACTCAAGTGTTGGAGAGTTGGAAATGCTTCCAACACCAACACCAACACTCTAGTAATCATATGGCGAGTCAAACACTGCTCACTAGGTGCCCAACAAAAAAAATAAGATTGGTGTTGAACATGGAAAATAGCAAAAGTTTAGAGAAATTAAAAGAAAAATCCAGAGGAAAAACATCAAGTTCACACATCCAAATTATCATATTGGATATAATTCAATTCCTCACACACCTTTCCAGTTAGAGAAATTTTTGAGCAAGTAGGGTTCATTGGATCTTTCTTGAGACAGGTCCCAAGAGGGTATTCACTGACTGTGAATGAAGCTTTATCATTTTGCAGTGCATTTCTTGCTGTTGGGTCCAGACTTGTCAAGTAAAAGTAAGGGATTCCGGTGCCTGCACCGGGGAGTCCATCACTATACGACACTACATTTCTGCACATACATAACATAACTTTTCAGCATTCAAAATTAACAAATTCCAGTACATAATGTAGAAGGCACCAGAAACTCTCAGCAGAAATTTTTAGCAGAGTAAATAAACGAATAAGAAGGATGGACAATAAACGCTTACCCAAAGGGAGCACCACCTAAATCAGATGAGATAGTGCTGAAAAAAAAAGGGGGAAAAGGAAACTGTTTGAATTTCATAAGCAGATAAATAAGTGAAAGCGAAGTGGTAAAAAAATCCAATAACTTAAACATGCAAGTTCAGAATTGGAATGGAAGAGATGAAGAGAGAAAGAGAGTACTTCAGGACTCCCCAGAAATTGAGAGAGACGAGCCAACGAGCAGTGGCAGCGGCATCATTTGGGTCGGGTTTTGACGGGATCGACAGTAATCGGCCTTTGGATTGAGAGACCCACATCGACAACCACATCAAACATACCAAACCCTTCATTCCCATCAAATTCAATTTGAAACACAACATGTTGTGTTTTTCCCTGAATCCTTGCCAGTTGCTATTTATCGTTCAAATTGTCTCTTGGAGCATCTGGAGACAGACTATGTATACAATGAAAGGATAAAGAATCCTTTGAATAAAATAAAGACATATATTTATTTTTTTATTAGATATAATTAATAATTTATTTATTCAATTCAATATTTTTTAAAGGAAGGACACATTCAAATTTTTTACCTTCATTGATTATTAGGTTAAATAACATAAAAATATTTACAACATTCGTCATTGACATGCATTGACAACAAATTTCATATGCAATTTAAACTTAAACAATAAGGAGTTAATATATATTAGATAAAGCTTATCATGATAACAAAAAGTCAATTAATCTAATTTTTATTGAGACATAATTATATGGTTATATAATTTTGTTAATATGTATTAAAAAATAATCTTAATTAGAACATAAAACATAAATAAAAGTGAAAAGAGAGGATTAAAATGGAAAAAATAATATAAAAATTATGATTAATATTTTTTTAATTAAAAAGTGCTTTCTTAGATAATAAACATATGAAAAATAATTTTTAATAATTGCTAAGATGCGTCAAGCATTACACATTAGAAAAACCGATTAATTATCATCCACATATTTATTAATCATTAATTTCTATAGAAACATTAATTAATCATTAACTATTATCCATGCATTAATTAATGAGTGGGGATATACTCACTTTCAATTTTAACTTTTCATGTTGTTTTACATTAACAACCACCATTAATAGCTGTATTTTATACTATTATATAGATTATTGTCCTATTTTCCAATTTTGTATTAGGTATCCGTTTTAATTTTTTTAATTTAAATGTATTTTTATTTGATCTGTTTTTAAATTTAATTATTTTTAAAAGTAAAATAAGTTTTTATAAGGAAAAAATTACCTAGAAAATAAATAAAAATTATCTACAATAAAATTGTAAAAATCATTTATATTTATTTTTATAATTATAATAATAATAATTTTATTATTTTCATCATAAAAAAAGTAAACATATATTTGTTATACACGTGTGTTTCGATTAGTATTTCGAAAAATAATAACAATATTTTTAGTTAGATATATCTTTAATTATTACAGTTATTTTTCTTCTTTATTAATATATTAAAAACAAAGTTAAAGGTAGAGAAAAGTAAAATAGTTGAAATTGTGCATAAGATTTTTCTCTTTATTATCTTTTAACAAACTGTTTTGCTTTGTGGGATTGAAGTTGAGTTTATTTGCATAAACTGTTTTTTAATTTTCAGCTTTGTGATTTTTAAATTTTCGTTCGGTCCATCCATGTGTCGTCTACAAAAAATACTTTGACATTCAAGTCTGTGTTTGTTTGAATAGTTTGACAATAAATATCTAGAAAAAAAGTATTCAACTACTTAAATATCAAACTTGTATTTATAGATTTTCGTGATAGACTTCTAATTAAGGCTGGTCCAATTATGACCCATATATTATTAACTTGGTTTAAGTTTAATCTAGTTACTCCTAATAGCTGATATTGGTTGTGGTCTAATTGACTAATCGTTTCGTTATTAAATAGTCAACCATTCGATTCATGACTAACCGGGTGGTCATTCAGTACATAAACCAGTATGAGACAATTATAATATTAAAATATTATAAATTTTAGACATAATTACGTGTAAATATAAATATGAAATATATATATAAAACAAGTAAGCATGCATTATATATTACTTGAATAATTATATATTACTTGAATAGGTTATAACTTGATATTATTTTCCATTTTAATATTTAGTTACTTTTTATAAATATATTTTTTCTCTTGCTTAATATCTATGAGTGTTGGATAACAAATTATTTTTTATTTAATTTTTCTTTTGATATAGAATAAAATAAAAATGATTTGTTTAGATAGATATTGAGAATAGTGATAGTATTGTATGGAGGGTTGAATAATTCGTTATTTTTATTTAGTTTTTCTTTTAGTAAAAAAAGTGAGAAATAATTTGTTTAAAAAAATGAAAATGGTGATTGTAAAATATTGCATTTAATCATACAAGCAATAAATTATTTAATGTGAGAAAAGCACACATTTAAGGATAATTTCCAACAATTTAATGTGCATACCCACTTAAATGATTTTCTTTATTTTTATTATTATTATTCACATGTATTAAGATTATTATTTTAACAATTATTATATAATGATGAGGAGAAAGATTGAAAATAACATGTGTGTATTGGATAGAATTAATGTTCATTTATAATTTATTAATCATAACTCTTAATTAATTATTATGCATCTGTTAATCATATATTAACACACATAATAATGCGCTTGCCACGTCAAGAAATCATTAATATTGATTCATCACAAGAGTTGCATTCATTTATTAATACAATTTAGAGATAAAAATAATTCAAAAAGCTTGAGATATAGACAAAATATAATTTCACATTGAATAAAAATATACTTAACTTTTTAAAATTAAAAGAAAATATATATTTCTTTATTAATATTAGATGATTTTCACTTTACTAGCAAAGATATTATACACATTATATATATTTTACATATACAATATAAAAATATAAATTGAAAAAAAAATATAGTCAATAACATAGAATAAAAGTAAAAGTGTAAGTATTTAAAATTTTAATTTATTATTTTTGTAATTTCATACGTTTCTTAAATTAATTGTAACTATTTTTCATGAACTATTTTTACACAAAATGACTATAAATTGAAAATTTAACATTAGTTATATTTGGATAGAAGATAAAAAGAATATAAATAATATTTTCAATAAAAATATTATTCTATTAATTTTTTAGTATAATTTAATTTAATTTAATTTTAATATTTGTATTTTATAATAATTTTTACTGTACCGAAAATAAAGATTTAAAAAATACAGAATCATTACCCTCGTAAGTTTTTATGTCAAATATGTATTTATAATTGTATGAAAAACTATTATAGATCCAATATTTTGATTTTTTTTATAACATGTTTTCACTTTTGATGCGATAATTACATTTATTCATTTTTAGAACTTCTCAATCAAATTATATCAAAATTTAAAATAAAGATAAAATCTAATCATGTGTTCAGACTAAAAATATATTTAACATTTTAAAAAATCATCAATTTTATTTAAAAGACACCTAATTGGAGATATTCTCTTTCGGGTCAAGTTTTCTAGATGACGAAAAAGTTAAGAATCTAACCCCAAGTCAATTTAGTTTGACCACTAATGTATACGAAGGAAATATGTTCAAAAATAATAACTCATTACGACAAGATAATAAATAAATAAAAAATACTAGTAGCAAAAGGAAGACATTTCACGTGCCCCCTCTATTTTTTAGTAGCAAAAATACTAGTATTTGATAATAACATTTAATTAAGGTTGCAAGCATGCAATGCTATAAATAAACCACAAAGTTAAATAAAAGAAAGAACAATGTTCAGATCTTGGGTTTTCCCCTTTTCTAATTGTATTTTTCTTTCAGTGCATTATGCAGTAACTAGTGAAAAAGTTAAGAACGAGTATAACTAAATACGCATAGGTTCAAATAGAACTGGGACAGAACTGTGCACACGATAAAAGTACAGACGAAAATAACAAGTATGGCCGTAAACCGAGGCCAAACATCCTTGTTTAACAACAAAGGTTTACTACATTGATGAACAACACTGAGAACTCACCTTCGTTATTTGTGTTGTATTGTATCTAGTGGGCACTACGCATAATTCCATGCAAGTAACCACCAGTCATTATAAGCGACACAAGTGACACAACCCCTGCTGGAAAAACCTTCCCTGATTTCTTGAAACGTGAACCCATCACCCCTAGAAGTGCAGCAGATATCCCTACATGTGGGGAGTAAAGTAAACGAAATCCAACATGAGAGCAGAAGATGAGCTCAAGCTTTACTCTAATATCAAAGTGCATGCCGTAAATATGTAGAAGTAATATAAAAGTAATGTAAACTAAACAAATAAGCTCAACTCAGGAAACCAATAATCGCACGTCTACTTCAAAATTAATATTTCAAAAATAGATTCTTACCGGTAAAAACTTTGAACCAGGTAATAAAATTGTCGGGCTTATCAAACATTATTTAGGTGACCACAGATCCTTCTGTGCAAACCACATTATTTGACTATAATTATATAAAAGTACATCATATAGCCTCTTCCATAGCCAGTTGGGCAAAACTTTAAACAGTATTTCGTTTTGGTAGGTTGTATAAAATCTTATAGGCTTGAATAAGATATTTATTTAGTATTAAATTCTTAAAAGAAACTTCAGAATTCTGGGATAACCTGCCGATAGAGTTTTTACAGTTCACATTAGTTAGTCTCAAATTGAATTTTGACATATCTTATCAAATTAATAAACACAAATTATGTGTGTTAATGATTTGCAAGATTTATTTATATAACTTTGATGAGAATGGTGGTTGTACTTAGGTATATGATGAACTTTGATTGATGTTGGAACGAGTGAGTGTTCAGATGTACCTGAGTGTGTAGTTGATGAGCATAAGAGTGAAAGATAGGTCTACTTGTTGTACTTAGTAAAGCCTGAGACTATCGATCGTCTGATACGAGATAACGACTCCCTTTGGCCTTGTGTGCGAAAAGGGATGCTCGGGTATTGAACCTTCTTTGTATGAGGGTGATGGTGTTTGACTTGTCCTTGTGTGGCAGGAAACATGTTCCTTAGCCAGGTAGGCAGAACTACTCGAGCAGACCTGTAGGAGAGGCTACAGGAGACCTGTGAGGAGGCTACAGGTTTGAGATAAGGTAGAGGAGTGTGACTAATTCTTTTCACTATGAAGTTATGGTATTGTGGAGGCTCATGGTGTTATTGATGATGAAGGATTCATGATGAGATTATTTCTAATGGAGGTACATGTGATGATGATTCGTAGTGACGATGTGTTTGGAGACGATGTTGATAAGGATGACGTTGATAGTATAGTCATGATATAGTTAATGAGGATGATGATGAAGATCATGGTGTAGAAATGATTTTGTTAGTAGGATAGCGTTGTAGATGATTCATTTGTAATTAACTTGTGTTTGCTTCCTATGTACATATTTTACTGTTTTTGGTTGTGTTATGGTAGCTTACCCATATTTGTTTGTGTTTGTGGTTATGTGTGTCTTGCAATGATCGTATAAACGGGAACAAATGTTGCAGATGCTCCAGATGCATGATAGAGACATGAGAGTGGTGTTATTTAAAGTTTTTGTACCATAAGGGTTAGAGACAATGTAATTGGGTTTATTTTATTTCGTTTTTATTTTACTAATTTCGGTATTATATAAGTGGATTTCCGCAATAGTATTATGGTTTTAAAAATTTTAAATTTTACACGTAATTGAAACATCCCAAAAATCAAAATGTTACAAATGCATCTTATCTTTTTATGATGATATAACACTTTCCTAAGGTAGGCTTTAAGCAATGAGTAAGTAAAAAATGTGGAGAAAATAGTCACTTACCAAGGCCCACAGATGATGCAAAAACAGGCCTTCCAGGTAGCTCAGTATATACATAATATAGCAGTGATGCAGACAAACCCCCAGCCAAAAGCGACTTCTGACTGCCACTCTTGAGAAAACCCATTACACCACCCACTGCCAAAAACCATAAAAAAACATCGTTGTATATACGTACGTCATCGGGTAAGGGAAAAACATAACGCAGATAATGCAAAATCATGGCATGGCCGAATCCGTTGGACATTATACTGTGAACAACTTCAATACATGACAGACTCGAAAAAACAGTTTTAAAGCAGAAGTAGTATAGGACCATATAACTAGGAAGCATAGATATAGGACCAAATCATAGTAGTAAAAGAAGAGCCATTGTTTCAGACACACGCAAGCGTCCCACTCGACATTGCTAATAATTTTGGAGAGTGTTTCCTAACCCTGCAATTTGGGAAGAAATTGCAGCTAAAGATGACTCTCAAATAGCAGCTTAATTAGCATCTGAAATTGCAGTGAATCGAACACCTTGTCCTAGAAAACTTTCATCCGTCAAGCACATTCCAAAATGCTTTTGGATGAATTGAAAAGTAATAAGTTAACTAAGTCAGCTCCCTCAGATAATTAAACAAAACAAACAAATAATACAATAGCAATATCATTCTCTAGGGTTCAGCAACAGTTATCTCATTTTAGTTATTAAGTGAGTGAAAGAGAAATACCGAGAGAGAGAGAGAGAGAGAAGTACCTCCGACGAGTGCAGCATAAGCTAGAGTGAATTTCTGGGACATTAACAAAGCCATTTTCTTCTTGTCACTGCTCGATCCTTCCTCGCCCTTGCTGTTATCACCTCCTTCTCCTCCTCCTCCTCCTCCGCCGCCACCAGAGCCGTTACCGTTTCCGTTAGCGTCGGAACCGCCACCGGTATGATCGAAATCGGGTTGAGTCAGGTCAAGCGAAGTGGCCTTGGAGTCGGAAGTGACGGCGGCGTAGAGGTGGGGATTGTAACGCGTGAAGTAACGGAAAGCAGGGGAATGAGATTGAGAGCGAAAGAATATGGAGATGTTGGGAGTGAGAGTGTGAGATCTTGTGAAAGAGAATGAGGGAAGAGTTGAACCTGTAACACCCAACCCACCTACACCTACACTCTCTGCCATTGACCTTCTCCTTCCTTTCAATTTTGATTTCGTTTCGGTTTTTGATTTCGCCCCATTCCACAACCTTCCGCTCTCCCCCGGCCCATGCTAATCCACCTTCGCAAAGCCCAAGCCCAAAGCCCATCCCACGCCCTTCATATGTTAAAAAAATTAATTAATAACTAACTAATTTGTTTTAATTCATAGATTTTATTATAGTAAAATGTTATGTATGCATTCAACGCAATAAAAGGGTGAAAATATACCCACAAGTTCAATGGTATAATTTTCATATAAAAAATCAACTATATCATAACCGATTATTTCAAGTTCGGAATAATGGGAATCAAATTTTTGTCTGAACTCTTTCCTTAATCCAAGAGACCAATATCTTTTGAAAAATCATGTACCCACAATTACGTGCCATAGGCTAAATAAAAGTCAATTAAAAAAATAATATTTACACAATGATCTCATCACAAATTACCATATTCAAAAGGATATCTGTATTTTCTTTTGCATAATTTACACCTCCTTTGTTGTCCTGAAAGGCTCATTAGATCGAATTTCATTTAAGTTATCAATAGTTTTGAAACCCAACTTATCACTTTCAATTCATTCTTACCTTACTTAATGTTTCTTTCCATACCATTATCTTTTAATAATGAAGTTGAACCCCATTACCTACCTACCACAAACTCAGTTTCATGATTTATAATTTCACGTTTTTCCCTTTTGCTTTTGCCTCCCTTGTGCTTGGATATATAGTTAAAACATATAATTTAACTTTTTAATTTCTTTAAATACCATTTAATAAACAAATATTATTCATTTTATTTAATTTCACTTTCTCATACCTGTAAGTATATTTTTAATATTAATTTATATTTTGTATGTGTGTGAGAAAAAAAATCACGTAAAGTTATGGATAGTGCAAAGACTTTAAGTTAACTGTTGGAAATTTTTTACATATAAAATTTATTTAAATTGTATTTAATTTATTATTATTATTATCCTACTACATGTCTAGAAATATTGTATGATTCTCTCTCCTGCTTAATAGTCCAAAACGATACTGCTAGTTTTGTTATAGTAAAACATCCAAAACATCATTAAACGTTCTTGTGAAATCGATCATGAGCATCTAACTCATTTGTAACATATAACAAGTTCACAAGTATAACTTTAATACTGCATCATTGACTTTAATACTGCATTATTGACTCCCTGGTGAATCTGACATATCTGCGGAATCAAATTCCTCCATCACCAATGGATGAACGTCAGTTGAGGGATTGTATTGCTGAATTACCATAACTGACGTAACAGTGGAAAAATCTGAAGAAGCAACAAAGCTTCCAACAGGTCCAAGCTCTGGACAGTCACTTTTGCTAACCAAAGGAGCCACTGGTGGCATTCTACCAACCAATATGAGGTTGCATCTATGCATTTCCTTCAATGCTATCTCAATATCTCCTTTGCTTTCCACTAGCTTTTGCTCATACTTCATTGTCTCTTGGGTGTTGTTGTTGCATGCACTTAAAAACTCACTCCACAATTGATCATCTTTATCATCATAATCATTGACATCAACCACATCCGTTGTTTTCCTATATTTCTTTGATGACACCTCAACCGATTTAGCACCGAAGGCCAATGATGTCCCTGGTGGAGTTACAAACTTAAGCACGGTGAGAAAAATACCCGGGTGCTCGGCCATTCTCATTCCATAACAAAGAGCTTCACGATCATCACGCCCTCCAAAGAAGGGTACCACTATCTTATAAGACACATCACTGGCTTGGACTTGGCTCGTCCCTCCAAGACCTCGATCAACAAAAATTCCCACCGAGCAAGGAGCATGACATAGCACAAGTTGATTCATCTCTTGGAATGAATGTCCCAGTGACTCCATCGATCCATCAACACGTTGGTGTTTGTGGAATGGAAGGATGATCATGGCTGCACGCTTTCTGTGAGCAGTAGTACAAATATCCTCATGGATGCTATTGAGACCAGAAATGACTGTCATGGGGCGGACACTGACACTGCTCAGTTTCTCATATGCCTGAAAAGCTATGATCATTTGATCTTTGCCGTCCCGCTTCTTGTTACAAAAGGGCATGCCATTTTTGTGTGCCTTGTGAACCATTGTGATTGCCGAAGATCGCTCCGAAAGCTCCATCAAATGCATTGCATAGATACAAAGCTTTCCTTTCCTTCCTGTTCCACGGGAACACTCTATTAGATTGATCAGCGATGGAATGTTACGGGTGCTGTGGAAGCAAGCTAGCATTCGAAGCTCAGTGTCGGGATCTCGTTGAATTGTTTTGTGCTTGTAAGGTGCTCCTCTGCGAGCTGGTTTATATACAGCCATCACTATTGGGGTGGAGATGAAGGTGGTAAACAATGCCATGACAACACAAATGGCAAATGCTTGGTCATTCAGCACCTGCATTGTATAAGAATAATTCATAAAAAATATAAGAACAAATAACAAATTCTTTTATAAGAAAGAACAATTAACAGACTTGTAATAAGAAATAGGGTGGTAGCATGGATAACTTCCACATAGATCTTTGACCATCAACTTTGATCTTAAATACTAAGATAAATTATTATTGTTTAGAATAAAAATAACAATATATTTCTCACATAAATACCTTAAGGTCCCTCCCAATGTTGAGAACAATGAGTTCTACCAAGCCCTTTGTGTTCATGAGAAATCCAAGAGCCAGGGCTTCTCTGGCAGGCACCTTATACAGTAATGAAACAACAGTAGTGCCAATAATCTTCCCAAAGCAAGCGTTGAATATAACAAGCATTAGCATTGCCCAAGAAAGACCTCCCTTAATTGTTGCTACATCAGTTTTCAACCCACTGGACACAAAATATAATGGCATGAAAAGGCCAGAAACCAAGTCTTCTATCCTTTCGGTCAACACCCCAGAAAAGGAACCTTCTTTGGGCATAACAGTACCAACCACAAAAGCCCCAAAGAGGGAATGAATTCCAATAGTATCAGTGACAAAACTACAAGCCAAAACCAGAGTCAACGTGATGCATATGTAGACCTCCTTCACTGGCTCACCCTCCAGAGAACGGTTAGCCATAGCCACAAGCAACGGCCTAATGGCAAAGACAACAAAGATGACAAAAGCAGCACCACAGAGCAATACCCAGAGAGGAACAAAGGGAGATGCTTCAGAACCAGAAAGGGCTATGGCAAGAGCAAGAAGAATCCAAGCTGCAACATCATTGACAGCAGCAGCAGACATTGCAATGCGACCAACATCAGTTGTTAGGAGTTTAAGCTCAGCCAGGATCCTCGCAAGGACAGGGAAGGCGGTGATCGAGAGAGCAACACCCATAAAGACTAGAAAAGGAAATAGCTCAGCACCTTTGGATACAGTGGCTCGAAGAGCAATGGAAGTGCCAATGCCAAGAACAAAAGGCACAGTGATCCCACAGAGGGCAATGCCTAAGGCCTTGTGACCAGTACGTCGAATTGCACGCATGTCAAGCTCAAGTCCCACGAGAAACAAAAAAAACAAAAGACCTATGTTGGCCAGTGTGTCAAGAACTGTGATGCTTTTCTCTGGAAAAACCGCATTCAGAAACTTCTCGTTTCGCCCAATTGCAGATGGCCCGAGTAGTATTCCTCCCTACAATTTTAACAACATTACTACTTATATTGGCATACTCAACATCTTTATCCACTTTCTACGAAAAAGAAAATCCCTTTCCTTATAAATCACAAGTTCTTTTTTTATATATATAGAATATAGTCGTTTTAACGGACTTACACATGATACAAACTCAAGATCATTAGTTAAACTTTAACAAGATTGACCCAAGTGTTGGGTAATTTGTTAGCTCTATTAAATATATATTTTCTTTCTATATCTCTGTTCCTTGTGGGAAAGACATATGCAAAGTGAACATTTTTCAATAAAATAACACCAACCGAATCCAGCAGTTAAAATAATAATAATAAAAAAGAAATCCTGGGCATGCCCATGTGCCTAAATACATTATCACCGGAAGAGGAACCCCTTTTATAACAACGAGACACACTTGCTTTTGATAAAAAAAGGTAGCAATAAATTAACTGGATGGTGGGGTAAGAAAAACTTACTATGATTTCAGCAATGACTCTGGGTTGCCTGAGGGGTCTGAAGAGGAATGCAAGAAATCTAGTAAAAGCAACGACCAAACATATTTGGAGGATTAACAGAGGAAGCGCATAATCCAGAGGGTTTTCATGTTGGAACCCTCCGTTGGACGTGGCCTTCATGGGTGCAGGGCATGATATGTTGTTACCAGTTCCCATCGTGCTTTTGTCTCAAACTATACCAGCACCAAGAATCCTTAAACTATGTCGGTTTTCACAAGAACAACAAACTCACAAGAACAAATACTTGTGTTGTGCTATGTTCTTCATGAATCTTCACAATCATCTTGGAGTTGAGCTCTCTATATATAGAGAGCGTGGTTAAACAGTGTGTAACTCTATGCAACCAATGACAAGTAAATAGGTGCACTTGTTTGTGGTAGGACCAGTTGAAACCAGGATGGTTTACTCTCTTATAGATAACATCTTTCATAAACCATAAATTTAATTTCAAACTGTAATCATTTGTTAAATTGCTTTTTTAAAATTAATAACATATAAAATATTCTCCATAATTATATATTTGCAATAAATTAAATTTTTGAAACTATAATGAATTATGAATTTTATATCAAAATAAATAAAACTAAAAATTTTATGGTTATACACGTTGGAACTAAAAAAGTTTGTTTATATTTATATTCTCTTATTATATATATATATATATATATATATATATATATATATATATATATATATATATATATATATATATATGGGTCGGTGAAGAATATTTTAAATAGATTTTTGTATATTTTAACAATTCTAGATATTTTAGAATTGGAGTGTTACAGTAAATCTATAAATAGAAAGTTATGGGTGAAGTCGGTTTATGGCATGTGTTACAGTAAAGATCTAACCTCATCTTAGCGTCTATCTTAGCGTCTATCTAAAACA